TAAAGATGCTCTGATCCGATCGGGGTGGTGAGTATCTTAGTATCGAATTCCTGGACTATCTTAAGGAGTGTGGAATTGTTTCACAGTTGACGCCACCTAGGACACCACAGCTTAATGGTGTGGCTGAGAGGCGCAACCGAACCTTGTTAGACATGGCTCGTTCCATGATGAGTCGAGCTTCGTTACCAATCTCATTATGGGGGTATGCCTTGGAGACTTCCGCCCATATCCTTAATCGAGTCCCAACTAAAAAGGTTGCTAAAACACCTCACGAGATGTGGATAGGGAAGACTCCCTCGTTAGCCCACATCAAGGTTTGGGGTTGTGAGGCTTTCGTGAGGTGCGAGACTCACGACAAGCTCGAACCTCAGAGTGAGCGGTGTATTTTCATCGGCTACCCGCAAAAGTCCTTTGGTTATCTCTTCTACAGACCGAGTGACAATGTTATCTTCGTTGCGAGGAGAGGGGTTTTCCGAGAGAGGGAACTTATATTCCAAGGGGACAGTGGGAGGCAAATTGACCTTGAATAACTTCAAGCGTTAACCGATGAAGGAACCTCAAACACTAGCGGTCAACCTGAGGAGGAAACTCCTATTGAGCCGATTGACGAGTCCGTACCTCTGAGGCGTTCCAGTAGAGTTAGTGTTCCACCTGTGTTATATGGTTTTCATATAACATCTGAGGGTGATACATTTATCAGTGACAGCACACTGATAAATTTGGATGAACCTAACAACTACAAGGAAGCCATGGAAGGCCCCGAGTCTGCTAAATGGAAAGAGGCGATGGACAGCGAGATTCAGTCCATGTATGACAATCAAGTTTGGAACTTGGTTGACAATGTACCGGGTCGTAAGACATTCGGGTGCAAATAGATCTTCAAGAAGAAGACTGACATGGATGGGAAGGTACACACTTATAAGGTGCGACTGGTTGCGAAGGGCTTTACTCGAACTCCGGGAGTTGACTATGATGAGACCTTCTCACCAGTAGTGAAGATTAAGTCTATTTGGGTTATGCTAGCCATTGCTGCGTTTCATGACTATGAAATATGGCAAATAGATGTCAAACCCACTTTCCTTAATGGGAAGTTGGTTGAGGATGTTTACATGAGTCAGCCAGAGGGTTTTATCGATGCTAAGTACCCTAATAGAGTGTGTAAGCTTAAGAAATCCATTTATGGATGGAAACAAGAATCTCGCAGATGGAATCTTTGTTTCGATTAGAAAGTCAAAGAGTTTGGCTTTTCAAGAAGTGAGGATGAGTCCTGTGTATATGTCAGATCTAGTGGGAGTATAGTTAGCTTTTTGGTACTGTATGTGGATGACATACTACTCATAGGAAATGACATCCCAACCTTGCAGGAGGTGAAATCCTAGCTTGGGAAGTGCTTCGCGATGAAGGACCTTGTAGAAGCTGCCTATATCCTAGGGATAAGGATATTGAGAGACAGGAGTAAGAGACTAATGTCAAAGTACCTACTTGGACAAAGTGTTGAAGAGGTTCAACATGCATAATTCCAAGAAAGGTGACTTACCGATCCAGAGGTACCTACTTCGACAAAGTGTTGAAGAGGTTCAACATGCATAATTCCAAGAAAGGTGACTTACCGATCCAGAGCAATACCAAACTGAGTAAAGCTTAGAGTCCGAGTACAGAGGCTGAGATAGCTGAGATGAGTCGGTTACCATATGCTTCCGCTGTTGGCTCGATCATGTATGCTATGACTTGTACTCGCCTTGATGTGGCCTTTGCTTTGAGCATGGTCAGCAGATATCAAGGGAATCCTGTCAAGGCTCACTAGACTGCGGTGAAAAACATTCTCAAGTACCTTCGGAGGACCAAGGATTGGGTCCTTACACTTGGTGGGAGTGATGACTTGAGAGTGGTGGGGTATAATGACGCCAGCTTTCAAACCGACAGAGATAATTTCCACTCTCAGTCGGGCTGGGTCTTTACCCTGAATGGAGGAGCAATAACTTGGAAAAGTTCCAAGCAGGAGACTGTAGTTGATTCAATGTGTGAATCAGAGTACATAGCAGCAAGCGAAGCGACGAAGGAGGCGATATGGTTGAAGAACTTCATCGGAGACCTTGGAGTTGTACCAGCTATAAAGGAGCCCATGGAGATTTTCTATGACAGCGATAGTGCGGTTGCCTTAGCCAAGGAACCAAGGGATCATGGAAGGTCCAAACACATCGACAGGAAATATCACTTCATAAGACACAAGATAGAAGAATGACTCCTCGTGGCAAAGAGGGTATCATCAGATGAGAACCCGGCAGATCCCCTCACGAAGGGACTGAGTAGGGTTAAGCATTTACAGCATGCAAGGCGCATTGGGCTGAGGGAAGATATTAGTTTTAATGATTAGATAGCTATTTCGAAACTTGTAATAGATAAAGTGTAATTGACATTTGATGCTTAAATAAAAGGTGTTTTTTATTTACTAGTATGGTACTGTCTCATGTCAATTGATTTACTATCGTTTCATTTTTCATGTTTTGACTTCCAGAATAATTGGATTATTCAAACCATCAACAGTCGATCATACTTTGGAAGTAGGTATTGAAGCAAGACTGTCATAAATTTGGCTTGTAGATTGTCAGAAATGGTTAGACATTGCTATGACATTCATGAGTGCTCATAAGGTCTGAGTATTGGATTCAACCCACGCTCACTTGTATCGCTTCATGGAATTTATCTCGAGTGATCGTGAGACGATATTTTCATATAATCTTCAAACCTAGATATATAAGTTGTTGACTATGAGTTGGTCGTACATTGATAGTACGAAAATGCATCGGTAACTCGATGTTATAAAACGTACTGGTGTGTATGGTTCAGTGAATAGTTAGTACAAGCATATACTGTCAAAGTTTATTTGTTCCTTTTAGTCCTTGGAGGATTAAAAGCGATATCTTGGGCACCTCGATGATTTTGTTTTGACTTATGTGTCGGCCCGGTCAGAACTAAATTGATGTGTTCGATTAAGTTCTATGTCAAACGAATCAGAAATTGGGAAACAAACTGCTGGACAATAAGATTGATTGTGTTCCATGTGTTTGTCCGGCTCATATCTTGAGAACAGAGGATTCTATGATCACTTATCTAAAATGGTACGTCTAAGTTCGACAAAGGCATTTCAGAGCCACGATTGATAGTCGGATCCTGAGGTCATACTTGCAACTATAGTTACTAGACTTATCCAAGTGGGAGACTGTTCGATAAGGTGTCTAAGTCCATAACTATATTTGGTATGTACTTGACCCGAGAGTAGCATGGTCCATTTGGGTTGCACTTCACCGGGACAATTTGAAGGATGGACTTTTGAGAAGAGGATAATTATGATTTATTAATATATTATAAGTTCGAATATATTAATATGAAATCATATTATTTAATTAGTATTGATCAAGTATTAATTTGGAATTAATTTTGTGATCAAAAGAGACTAATTAAATATAAGGGGTTGATTTGGTAAATCATTCATTCTTATAAAGTGGGCTTATGATCCATAGTTCCTTATGTTGGGCTAAACCCATGTGGTGACCCATGGATACTCCATGGAGGTTAAACCCATGGAGCATGAGGAATGTGGAAAGTCATGCATATTAGGGTTTGCTTGGTGTAACCCTAATGTAGCCACACTATATAAGAAGCCCTTTATTGCATGAAATGGACTACTAGAGCATATACAAGAGTGCTAGCCGAAATTAGTGTGTGCAAATAACCTCTCTCTAGTTCTTCCATTTGTTGGTGGTGATTTGTGGTTCCATTTGAGGCATTCACATTATTGGTGCTAGGCTCTTAAAGCTTCAAGGTTTCCAACTACACTAAAAGGTATGTCATCTAACTAGAATTTTGTAGTATAGATACTCCATTGTATGCTAGTTAGGATGATGCTTTGGAATTTTGAAAGTTTGCATGTATATTAGAGAAAACATAGATCCAAAGCATCTAGGGTTGCATGTACACCATAGGAGTGTTAAAATGCTCAAAACCCATCAAAACCTAAGATTAAATACATTCTGAAATCATAACACATTTTGGAATTAAGAAAAGACACTAAACATTACAACCAAATTGCAAATAGCGCATACAATTAGAAACAATATACTTTTCGGATCCTAACAATCTCCCCCTTTGTGTCAAGTTGTTGTTGTGGTCTTTCCTTTCATGTTCTCCACGACTTCAAAATTCTTTGGGATAGTCTTCAACAAAGTCATCCAAATAACAATCCACCATCTAAGCATATTAGAAACACATTTAACGTCACCTTCTTTGTTTGACTTATTTTCCTTTGCCCTAACAATGATTTGATTCAAAATAGTAGTAGAATACAAATGCTTGTCTCGTAAGAATAACATGCAACTTATCACCTCCTCATTTTCCTTGATCTTGTAAGCCACTCCCCAAAGGTCTTTTTCAATGAAACCAACTTAGAAAGAATCCACATTTTCAGGAGGTGGAAAGGGATTTAGAATGGACTTCCTTTTAAGAACTGTTTCAATTTCAATATCTATTTTTGAGACTTCAAGAATATAAGATCGACTCATCTTTTTAAGAAATTGATAGATTGGTTCATATTTAAGTTTGTCCTTGGCAACTATGTTGAACAATGAAATCCAATCATATGGATTCATAAAAGGAATGTCTACCAAAGAGAACTCATGAACTTCATGATTGTGACATCTGAATGCTTTGAAACTGATGTTTGTGAAGCCATCTACTACAACAGGTTTTCCGACTTTCAACCCGACAATCCTCTTCAAACTCCAAGATTCATATTGTGGCTTTGAACTTTTCACATAACATTTGATCAGCCTTTTGTTAACAGAAAAATTCACCATAGTAACCTTTACAATGTTTTCAAAACATCGGAATTGAAATGCCTTTGGTGTGATCGGAAAATCTAGCTGACACTCAATTTTGTTTTCAACTGAGAAAGAGGTCTGAGGCTCCAACCAAAATAGATTCGGATTATCAATTACTTCATTCTAAATCCGATCAGTTGTCCATTCAGGAAACATAGCCTTCTTTGAAGTGAGAATATTTTCAAAAAAATTCTCTTTAGCTTCAAATTTCACTTTTAATGCATTTAATTCATCAAGTTCCTTGTCAAACTTTTCCCGCTCCTTCAGTTCTTTTTCAGACAAATTTGGATTAAGATCTCCATCTCCTTCTGAAACGATATTAACTTTTCCTTTACCTGATCCAGAAGATACATTACCTTTCCGACCAGTCTTCACTTCTCTGAAATTTTTCAACTTATCTTTTAGAGATTGTTTTTCAAGAACAACTTTTGCAGCATCTGACTTAGCCATTTTCCCAGTTTCATAAGGATTTCTCAAATTAACCTCTAGAATTTCATCTTTATTAACGGGAATTTCACCTTTATTCGCTTCTTTATCATCATCTTCTCCCCATTGTTGCGTAGTAGCCCTGCTACTCGTAACATTCAAAAATCCAATTAGCTTCGTAAGAACAGGCTTCATTTTGGCATCAATAAGCTACGAAGTATAATCAGCATATGGAACATCCTTGTTTTCAAAAATTCAGACAAGGTGTTGATTAATCTCAAAGTTTTGACCTTTCACCAAAAGTATCTCTTCATTCATTTTTCCAAGTTCAATGGTTGCATTCTTCAGTTGTTCTTTAAGAAATCTCACTTTTTGTGTAGACTCTACAAGTGCATCCATGAATTTATGTTCATATGCAAGATCCGTTTTCATTCTTAAGATAGAGTTTGCAATAGACGTATGATGATCTGCATTATCACGTTAAATACCAAAGCGAAGACTTGACAGAGCTTCCTTCTTAGTTTGAAGAGATAGATGAAATCCTTCAATTACCTTGTTAACTTCAGGGGAATTCTTATCAGAAGAAATTTGAAACTCAGACATAAACTTTTTAATTTCGAAATACATTTCTTTCATTTTAGAAACAACTTTGTCAACATTTCCATTACATTCTACAATCTTCTTGGTTGAATCGTTAGTTAACTTCTATTGAGACTCAAAGGTGTTTGCATTAGCTTTTGTTAACATTTTGATTGTTTCCTGATGAGATATAACCATGTTTTCCCAATTTGTTGTAGAAAAAGTGGTTATATGCTTAAGAATCTGATCCACCTTATTTTTCAACTCACGAAATTCACCACGTATCATTGGAGCAGATAAATTTTCCTCATCATCACTGTCAACTCTAAAATGAAAATTGGGAATAGAAAAATATTCAATAGATTTAGGTTCTTCCACAATAATAAAATCTTCATCAAAACTTAGAGATATAGGAGGAACAGAAGTAGAGGTGGGTTCCGACATAGTCACACGAATATAGACATATGAGTCCATATTAGATGTGTTCTCATGGATTCCTAAAGTTCTATTCTCCTCCAGATTGGATTCGAAAGTAGAAACTTCGGGTGGAGGTTCTGAAGTTGTAGTAGTTTGCTTCACTGATGGATCTGTTGTGGAGTCACTAAAGATTGGACTCTGAAATGGTGAAGTGGTTTGTGATTGATATGTTGGTTCAAAAATGAATTTTGGAATGATGTTTTCAATCGGAACAGATGTGGATATCGGGGGAGGTTGTGGAGGAGTTTGTGAAAGATTAATAATCAGGTCATTGATTATGTTTTCAAAAACATCTGCCTCAGGTTGAATCAGAACAGATTAAGCCAATGGAGAAGATACAGTCGGAGTAACAATCATTGCAATCGGATCAAAATTTTGTAGATGAACTTCGGAAGTATGAGCATTATCTTCCTCACGTAAGATCGTATCTGCAATCCAAACATCATTGTGAGTATGATCCTCCGAATCTTCATCAATTACAACTGGTTTAGAATTTGGTTTTCTTTGTTGCTGTGGTTTCTTAGAAACGCCACCAGTTTCTTTTACTTTTCATTTTCCTCCTCGTTTTGGAATATCAATAGTTTCAAGGGTTGCTTGCAAAGGGGTAGGAATTTCACGAACACCAAAATTCGGAATCTTCTTGTAGGCTTTGATAATATCATTATCAAGAGGAACCCAAGCCAACATCACCTCTGGAATAGAACCAATAAAACTGAAATTCTTAGGATAAGAAGTAACAAAAGTAGTCGTCTGCATCTTCGGAATATCAGCAACCACAACGTCCGATATAACAAGAACCTAGTAATGATTTAGGGCTCGTCGAACAACTATCGACCAAAATCGAGCACAAGAAATTTCTGAATATTTTGTATTGGAACTCACACTTTGAGTGAATTAAGTCTAAAGAACAGTTTCATAGTCAACATTCTCCCCAGAAAATAGTCCATATATCATTATGTAGAAAAACTTGCTTGCACTATCAGAACCAGTAACCCTTTTCGATAAACAATTGAACAAGACAGTGAACAGTGCATTCCAGATAGGAGGCAAAGCAGACTTCTTAAACTTTGATAAAAGATAAAGATCATAATGGTACCCCATTTGATGAAACATATAAATGAGACGAGAAATTGCTAGTGAATCTGGACTAAAAACATATTGAGAAGAAGAAAGCCCTAGCCATTTGTAGAAATTCTCTTTGGAAATTGAAGTTCGATGCCCATGAACCTCAAAATTCATCACCTCTTGAGCACTTTTGTAAATATTCGTTGAATACGCCTTGGATAAGTAAGATAAAGGAACCTTTTCAAACATCTTTAAAGCCTTCATCAATGGTGAATAGTTCAAGCATTCGATCAAGGGTTGAATATTAGGGTTATACTTCAACGCTTCCAAATCAGCCACCAAATTCTGATTGACTTTGATTTTCAACATGGCAGTTGATGCAGTTTGATCCATGAAAGAAATATTCTCAAAATAATTCATTTGCAGACGAATATTGCTTGCAGAAAATCGAAGAACGGTAGAGAGAATTGGAGAATTCTGCGAAAACTTGTTTGAGCATAAAGAATAGAATGTACAACTCTTAAGCATTATATAGTCCTGGATAACCAAATGGTTTTTAATTTGAATTTGAATCGGTATCCATAAGTGGAGAGAGAAAGCATCGTTCACAAATTAATTGTCTGTCATTGCCACGTCAGCCAAGAATTTCCATGCCCATTATGTCAAAATTAAAGGTCTAATAGAAAACCGCCAGCTCATCATTCTTTGAAATTGCTAGAATGACATCATTGAACTTCAAAATACACGCCCTGATTTGATTTTCCTATTTATGAAACATTCTGTTTCAATTTGTAGAAGTTTCACAATCACGAATCCACCCTTTAGCTTTGCATAAGCCAAAATAGAATCCATTGGAATCACGATTAGGATTGATTTCACAACCAAATGTAGTAACCAAGTATAAGAAGAGTTTCATCTAGTCACAGGAAGAATGACTTGAATCCCCAACTAGACTTTGTGAAATATTTGTCCAAATTTGAAAGTGCTATAGAAAATAGATTTAAGAAATAGGAAAGGTTGGAGGTGCATCACATTATCCTATGGTGATAGTAGGCGATCATCGCACAGAGTTTTATAACACCATAAGTTCCGAATTGTTTTTATTTAAAACCTCAGGGGTGCTATGTAGAATATGATAAAGATATGGACGAAAGAAATAAATGGAGTGATGATAGAACACCGTCAATTTCTTTTTGGCAATGATTTGTGGGTCTCACTCTTCATCATGGTAATAACGATGGAAAGATCATAAACACAGAATTTTGTAATCATATATCAAGTTGCTTATACTTGAAAATTAAGGGATTACATGGAAATCGTAAATAGATATGATAGAATGAAGTTATGGAGTGAAGTTGGTACATTGAAACATGATCTAGTTTCATCTGTCAATTCCTTTTTGTTGCATACTAGAATTCGTAAACGAATTTACCGTCAATTCATATTTGGAAATGAGTTTCTCACAATTTCATGGTAATAATGAAATTGATCATAAAAACAATTTTCACGAAACCTAATCCCAAGTTGGTTTATACTTAAAACATCAAGGGTTAAGTGAAAAATGTCATTGTAGAAAGATCTGTCAATTCATAACAAAAATAAAGAAATTTTTTTTGTACTTTTGATATTTTTGAAAATTAAAGACAAAAATAAAGGAAATCTTTTTGGATTTTTGATATTTTTTAAAATGAAAGAAAAAAAATAAAGAAAATCTTTTTGAATGTTTGATATTTTTTTAAAATGAAATACAAAAATAAAGAAAATCTTTTTGGATTTTTAATATATTTTTTTTAAATGAAAGACGAAAGTGAAGAAAATATAGTTACCTAATGCACCGTCCTACGAACCATCGTACCCTCTCACAACTAAGAAGTAACTACAAAACAAAACAACAATTTTTTTCAAAATGAATAGTAAAATTTGATATCAGACAAAATTCACAACAATTCTGAAATGAATAGTAGATTCCGAAGATCGGAATTTTTCAGAGATGAACAGTGAATTCCGATATGAACAGTGAATTCAGATAACTTTCGACGATCGGAACATTTCGGAATTATGCCAATGATTTTGGAACCGACTCAGCCTCAATCATTCCAAGCCCCTGAATAATTCGATTAAAAGTGACTTCCGGTAAGGCTTTTGTAAAAATGTCCTCCAATTGATTTACTGATCTAACAAAAATGAACTTCAACATTTCCGTCGTCAACATGATCCTTTATGAAATGATATTGTAAGGCGATATGTTTGTCTTAGAATGTTGAACAGGATTGCGACAAATACGAATTGCACTTTCTGAGTCGCAATAAAGAGGAGTCGTCTTCATGTTAATTTCATAGCCTCTTAATTGACTTTGCATCTAAAATAACTTGTGATGTACATGAAGCAACTGCTATGTACTCGGCTTCATCAGTTTAAAGTGAAACACAAGTCTGCTTCTTTGATTGCCAACTTATAAGTTTACCGTCCAAAAATTGACAGCCGCCTGTAGTACTTTTGCGATCAAGCCTACAAGCTCTGAGATCAACATCTGAAAATGCATGTATAAAAAATCCAGAATTAGTTGGATACCATAAACCAAGTGATGATGTTCACTTTAGATATCTAAAGATATTTTTCACTACTGTTATGTGTGGCTCTCGAGGATTAGCTTGATAATGAGCACAATAGCATACTGGAAACATCATATATGGCATGCTCAAAGTAAGATATAAAAATTGATCCAATCATTTGACGATACACTGTAAGATCCGCAGCAGGTTTATCAAGAGATGGAGTTAACTTAGTTCTGAATGCCATTGGAACTTTTATCTTTGAATCCCCTGTCATTCCAAATTTTGCAAGTAATGATTTAGTGTAAGCTTCCTGATAAATGAAAATACATTCCTTATATTTAAACCAAGAAATAAATTTATTGGATCCATCGAACTCATTTGAAATTTAGTTTCCATCAATTTTAGAAATTCATTAGTCAACTGATGATTAGTGGATCCGAAAATGATATCATTAACATAAATGTGAACAATCATAAGATGTTCACCTTCCTTCTTACAAAAGAAAGTAGGGTCAACTGA